TATGGTAACTCTTTGCTTTTTTTTTTTTTTTTTTTTTTGGTATGTGTCTTTTGATATTCATCATGCTTGGTGTTCTCTGGGCTTCTTGGTTCTAGAGTTTGGGTGTCTTTAAATTTTGGCCATTGTTTTGGAATATTTCTTCTGTTTTTATTTTTATTGTTGCCTTCATTTCTTAGTGATGAGATTTCTTCTTTCTGAGATTACAAGTATCCCTAAATGACAGTGTCTGATACTGTCCCACAGTTCTTAGATTCTCTGTTTTTTATTCTTTTCACTTTATATTTCAGTTTCGGTAGTTAGTTTATCTGTCTTCATGTTCACTGATTATTTCCCTAAGTGTGTTGAGGGTACTAATAAGTCCATTGAAGGCATCTTTGTCTCTTTTCTGTGGTTTTTATTGCTAGCATTTCCACTTGGGGTTTGTTTTTTTTTTTCCAATGGAGTCTCACTTTGTCACCCAGGCTGGAGTGCAGTGGCACAATCTTGGCTCACTGCAACCTCCACCTCCCCGGTTCAAGCAATTCTGCTGTCTCAGCCTCCCAAGGAGCTGGAATTACAGGGGCCCGCCGCCACGCCCAGCTAATTTATTTTATTTTATTTTTGTGTGTTTTTAGTGGAGACAGGATTTCACTATGTTGACCAGCCTGGTTTCAAACTCCTGACCTTAAGTGATCCACCCACCCCAGCCTCCCAAAGTGCTGTGATTAGAGTCCTGAGCCACCATGCCCAGCTTTTCCATTTGATTTTGCAGATTCCAACTCTCTGATAAGATTATCTATCTCATTCTACATATTATCTTTGTTTTCCACTAAAGCCTTTAACATATTGATTACAATTATTTTTCATTTTTTGTCTGAGAATTCCTACATTTGTATTATATCTTAGTATAGTTCTGATGTTCATTTCATCTCTTCAGAGTGTGGTTTATTTTCCTTTTACATTGTTTCCTTTTACAAATACTTTTGCCTTGTATGATTTTTTGTTCCTTGGCCAGCAGATGTATCACTCCAATGTCATTCCCCCATGTTTCCTCACATAACTGCTGTCTATGCATATCTTTGTGTCAAAATTTCACCTTTTTATAAGGACAGCAGTCATAGAGTATTAAGGCAGACCCTAATGACCTCATTTTAACTGATTACTTTTTTTTTTTGAGACAGAGTTTTCACTCTCGTCACCCAGGCTGGAATGCAGCGGTACCACCTCAGCTCACTGCAACCTTTGCCTCCTAGGTTCAAGTGATTCTCCTGCCTCAGCCTCCCAAGTAGGTGGGATTACAGGTGCCCACCACCACAGCCAGCTAATTTTTGTATTTTTTCTAGAGAGAAGGATTCACCATGTGGGCCAGGCTGGTCTTGAACTCCTGACCTTAGGTGATCCACCTACCTTGGCCTCTCAAAGTGTTGGGATTAAAGGCATGAGCCACCAAGCCAGGCCTTAACCCATTACCTTTGTAAAGACCTAATTTCCAAATGAGGTCACTTCTGAAGTACTGGGTTAGCACTTCAATATATATTTTTGGGAGAACACAATTCAACCAATAGCAGAGACAAACATGTTTCCCTTCTGCTAGGCCTGTAGTGAAGGTGTGTTTGTATTAATCAAGCCAGGAGTCAGGCAGAGTTTGAAGTTTGTTATTGCTATGGTTACCCTTAGTGCATTAAAGGCTTCATACTCCCCTAGTGATGTGTCTTTTTCATTCATCAAACTGGATCCTACTGTTATTTTTACTCAACTCTTGTTAGTGTGGTATTGGGAGTTGAGGAAACCAGTGTTTTCCATGTTCTGATTGAGCATGAGTCATGAGTAGGGACTCTGAACTTTGGTCTCAGGCATGTGTGGCCTTCACAAATGTTCTTCACCCACCTCCAGGTGTAATGCAGGGCCTAGCACACATTCCCACATCTCACAGCACAAAGGGAAATGACTGGCACGACTTTCAAGTCCCCTTTTTCAGGGAATTACCTGGTGATATGCTCACCAAAAGAAGGGAAGAAAACTAAGAAGGGAAACAAGGGACTCAGACAACAACAGACTTAAAACCTCTGGACATAGATAGAAGAGAAAAGATAATTCTTAGGGTAATGGAAACATGAAAGGCCTCGGATGGCAGCTGTGCGTCACATCACCAAACTTCAGTTCATGCTAAGGGGATAGAGGCCTTCAGGAGAGGGCACTGGAAAGAAAATGAATAGAATCAACAAATTACATGTTGAGTTTACTTTTATTGAGAAGAATTTTAGAGATTAGCAGATATGGGACTCAAAGAGATAAACAAAATTCAGCAAGTAAGACATCAGGCAATTTTAATCACAGTAAAACAAAATTTGTGTATCATAGAAGTTATATTACCTAACTGGCTCAGCTGTGAACAATTATATAGTTGTATGAAGATATTAATTAAATTACATTAATATATTTAGATATTTGTGGGGAAAGACAGAGTATGTGCCTGGGTGGTGCAAGGGACCTGAATTCTCAGCTTACCTAATAGAATATTAACTAAAAATGTTTAACATCAGACATACTACAGTCATGGAGAAAGAGCAAGGTCACTAGAATAAATCATACCTCTGTTTAACAGGAACTTGGCAAAGGATGGCATGACCCAGGAGATTTTTGTTTTTATATAAGCCTGTTTTGCTGCTGGTTTGAGCTCATAACTCTACATAATTTTGATAAAACTCATAATGTGGAAAGCATTTAAATATTGACTAAGTATACTATCATCTTAGAATATCAAAACTATTTACAATTTATTCCCATTACATCTCTGAAGAGTAGGCCTTATAAAATAATATTTTATTGATAGTTGCTAAAATAATTTAAAAAAAAAACCTTTTTCTCATTATAAGTGGTAAAGACAGAATTCAGAATTGTAGAGCTTCTCTCCTAAATAAAACAGAATATAGCTTTTAAATCTTTCATCCTTCATAATCTATTACTATACAGATTATATGAGGTTCTAAATCGTACCCAGTGGGAAACACAGCCTAAATAGTTTCATAAAAATATTGTTTGAAGAAAAGATATGAGACCTGGCATTCAAGCTATAAGATTAAACCTCTCCCACTTCATTGTCCAGAAAAATCCTAATATTTCTGGGTTTTACTTTTAGCAGAAGAACGCTTGCCATTCTACCCACCGTAATGACTTCAGCAAAATTATTACATTTCTGTAGCTCACTACTAAAGCATGAATCCTATCATGATGGTGTCTTTTTCCATCTCCTGGGAAGACAATTCTTACAAACAACACTGTTGGGTCTATCCGGTTTGATTTTGTTCTCTTCCTCTTCCTTCTAGTAATACAAGCATTAGTCTTTTTAAGATCCTGAGTTTTTGGGGTGTCTTTCCAAATCGCACTGTATTCTACCTTCAGAGATACAAGATTATGACTTACTGTTTCAGGATCTAAAATCAAATCTGTGTAAAATGAAAGAAGAATGTTTGTCAACCATAATATTGTGGCAGAAGCCTAAAGTCATCATTTCTTAGTTAAAATGGAAAAGCTCATTAAGTTTTTATTTATTTATTATCTTGTAATTTTTGACGGAATGTTGCTCTGTCGCCCAGGCTAGATTGTAGTGGCACGATCTTGGCTCACCACAACCTTTGCCTCCCAGGTTCCAGCGATTCTCCTGCCTCAGCTTCCTGAGTAGCTGGGATTACAGGCGCCAGCCACTGCGCTGAGCTCATTTTTGTATTTTTAGTAGAGGTGGGGTTTCACCATGTTAGCCAGGCTGGTCTCCAGCTCCTGACCTCATGATCCGCCCGCCAGCCTTCCGAAGTACTAGGATTACAAGCATGATCACAGCGCCTGACCTGTTGTTGATTCATACCCTTAATATCAATTACTAATTGTCTATTTGAGTGAATAGTTTACTCTGCTATCTCACTTATTAGAGCATTAAAATAAGAAAACAGTATTTGAACGTTTTGTTTCATCTAGTGTGTGTATCACATCCTATTCTGTATATTTTCAGGTTTTCAGACGTACATCTTATTCCTTTTCTGAAGAGATCATAAAGTGCTCAAAATCAGACTTTAATCTCTTCCTCTAATTTCTACTATCTTGGGCAGCATTTATGTATTTTTAGTTAACATAACTATTAGTTTAATTTTGGGTTATTTAAAGAATTTCATATTTGCTTTTTCAGAGATCAGATGTCCCCTGTGAGCTTCTTCCGTGAGGCAGCCTGCTCTATAGGGCAAGATGAGCCTAGCGGGAGACAGCTCACTGCAGACCCAAACCCTCTAGTCCTTGTCACGAAAGGAAGCTGGGACCTGATGGTGAATCTCTTCCTGCCTTTTCCTGGTGATTCTTCTGACTTGGAGTGACAGCCGGAGCATTGCTACTAAAATTCCTCTCTGGGCAGCATGAACGACTGAGAGGGCACGGGAAGAAAACGATTCGCTTCTCCCAGGATTGGTGTTGCGACAGCTGTTGGACGAGAGTGGTCGTCCCGGCATCTCCGAGCAAAGAGACACGGCGGAGGCGGCCGCGGTGCAGCGTCAGGTGTGTCAGGACGACCCGAAGCCGTGAGCCAGGAACGCAGTGCTCACCCAGCCCACCCTGCAGGGCTGGCTCTCCACGCACTGGGTCCAGAGGGAGGAGGACAGCTGCCCCGCCTCACAACGCATCCTTCCAACCATTGTGGTTTCTGGCGCTCCTCCAGGTCTACAACTTTGCACTTGACCTCCGAGGTCTCACCTGGAAGTCGAAGCCCAGAGGCTGCGCCGACTGTGTGCAATCACTGCTTGGCGGGCGGAATTCAGTTCCCGACCCCCAGTGAGGTGACGCCCAGCCTCCTGGGGACAGCGCTGCAGTGCTCTTAAGGCGCTGAGGTCTCCTGAGAACTTTGTGTTCTGTGAGAAGTCTGCAGTCTCAAAGATCCTCAGCTGATTGGTTTACTCTTCTGCCACCCACCCATACCTGTGCCGGACTCAGGACTCTCCCTACCCCAACTTAACAGAATAGAATTCCAGTTGGTGTTTTAATATATTGAATCTTACTTGTAACTGATGGGAGAAAAATGTGGTTGTAATTGACACTGAACAGCTTATTAAAAGTTACAGTAACACTACGATAATTGAGCTATTATATTTTGGAAATAAATAATGAAATTAGATGAAATACACAGATGTACAGATGAAATGTAATATATAAGATGACATATATAGATGAAATTGTAAGATGCCTGGGAATTTGCTCCATTGGCAGGAGAAGCTGCTGGGGTTATAAAAATTGTTTGTTTGTTTGTTTGTTTGTTTGTTTTAATATATTTTATTGCATTTCAGGTTCTGGGGTACATGTGCAAAACATGCAGGATTGTTGCATAGGTACATACATGGCAATGTGGTTTGCTGCCTCCATCCCCATCACCTATAACTGGCATTTCTCCCCATGTTATCCCTCCCCAAATCCCTATCCCCTGCTGTCCCTCCCCTAGTACCACCCAAAAGACTCCAGCCTGTGATGTTCCCCTTCCTGTGTCCATGTGTTCTCGTTTAACATCCATCTATGAGTGAGAACATGTGGTGTTTGAGTTTCTGTTCTTCTGTCAGTCTGCTGAGAATGATGGTTTCCAGATTCATCCATGTCCTTACAAAGGACACCAACTCATCATTTTTTATGGCTGCATAGTATTCCATGATATATATATGCCACATTTTCTTTGTCCAGTCTATCATCAATGGGCATTTGGGTTTGTTCCAGGTCTTTGTTATTGTAAACAGTGCCACAATGAACATACGTGTGCATGTGTCTTTGTAATAGAATGATTTATAATCCTTTGGATATATACCCAGTAATGGGATTGCTGGGTCAAATGGAATTTCTATTTCTAGATCCTTGAGGAATCGTCACACTGTCTTCCACAATGGTTAAACTAATTTACACTCACACCAGCGGTGTAAAAGTCTTCCTATTTCACCACATCCTCTCCAGTATTTGTTGTCTCCAGATTTTTTAATGATCGCCATTCTAACTGGCATGACATGATATCTCAATGTGCTTTTGATTTGTGTTTCTCTAATGACCAGTGATGATGAGCATTTTTTCATGTTTGTTGGCCTCATGTATGTCTTCTTTTGAAAAGTTTCTGTTCATATCCTTCACCCACTTTTGAGTGGGTTTGTTTGCTTTTTTTCTTGTAAATCTGTGTTAGTTCTTTGTAGATTCTGGATATTAGCCCCTTGTCAGATGGGTAAATTGCAAAAATTTTTTCCCATTCTTTTGGATGCTGGTTCATTCTAATGATTGTGTCTTTTGCTGTGCAGACGCTCTGGCATTTAATTAGGTCCCATTTGTCTATTTTGGCTTTTGTTGCCAAAGCTTTTAGTGTTTTAGTCATGAAATCCTTGCCTATGCCTATGTCCTGAATGGTTTTGCCTAGGTTTTCTTCTGGGGTTTTTATGGTGTTAGGTCTTATGTTTAAGTGTTTAATCCATCTGGAGTTAATTTTAGTTTAAGGTGTTAGGAAGGGGTCCAGTTTCTGCTTTCTGCACATGGCTAACCAGTTTTCCCAACACTATTTATTAAACAGGGAATCCTTTCTCTTTTGCTTGTTTTTCCCAGGTTTATCAAAGAGCAGATGGGTGTAGATGTGTGGTGTTGCCTCCGAGGCCTCTGTTCTGTTCCATTGTTCTATGTCTCTGTTTTGGTACCAGTACCATGCTGTTTTGGTTACTGTAGCCTTGTAGTATAGTTTGAAGTCAGGTAGAATGATGCCTCCAGCTTTGTTCTTTTTGCTTAGAATTGACTTCTTTATGTGGGTTCTTAATGACTTGCCTTATGTATCTGGGTGCTCCTGTATTGGGTATGTATATATTTAGTACCATTAGCTCTTCTTGTTTCATTGATCCTTTTACCATTATGTAATGCCCTTCTTTGTCTCTTTTGATCTTTGTTGGTTTAAAGTCTATTTTATCAAAGACTAGGATTGCAACTC